CCCGAGCTGGGCGGGCGCTCCGGGTGTCCCAGCGGGGCACTGCAGCTGTCTCTGTCTTTGCAGAGCTTGGAGAAGATCATCCAGCGAGACTTTTTTCCTGATGTGGAGAAGCTGCGAGCACAGAAGGAGTATCTGGAGGCTGAGGAAAATGGAGACTTGGAGAAAATGAGACAAATTGCTATCAAGTTTGGCTCTTCCTTGAACAAATCGTCGAGGGACACACCTGCACCCTGTAAGAACTGGCTCTGTGGGGCATGATGGGATTGTATCTGATATTGCTGCTCTTTATCTAATTTTTTGCAGGCAATGCTTATCTTATAGATTCAAGGTTGATGTTGCATGAGAGCTAAGTGTACCAGTTTGGGCACCAGCCAGTGTCTGGTGGCTTCATGCTGAATTCTCTTTGATGGTGTCTAATAACTCCTTGAGGGAAGGGTTTTGGGAAAAGCAGCCTTTTAATAAGCGTTTCTTATAGGCATCTCTTGCCAAGTTCCTGCTCTCTAGGGAATGTTATGTGCTCTCTACTGGGAGAAATCCTAATGTTTTGAATCCTTATTTTAGTTTGTAGTTTTAGGGGTTCTTGTTGCATCTATGGACATTTGAGATTTTCATGTATCAGGGACAGAAGGTGAGGGAAGCTCGTGGTTATCGGAGATTCCCACAGCATATACTCAGCTGTGGTTTCTCCCAGCAGGAGAAAAATGTCTTAGATGAGGCCAAAATCTTGTTTGGAGGTTGAGAGAATTGAACAGAGCACTGTGGAGTTCTTTTCACAAGTTTTTTATTTAATTTTTATTCTCTTGATATGCCTTCTGTGACTTGTTTGGTACATCATCCTTAGAGCAAATCCTGTTGTGTGCTTCAGTAACCAGGTGAATTTTTATTTTGTTTGTGGCAGATGTTACCCCAGCCACGTTTGAAACCCCAGAAGTGCATCCAGGTGGCCTTCCAGTGGGAAATAAATCTAAAGCTGGCATCAAGACTGCAGAGGAAGGTAGGAGAATTATCTAGCTGAATTCTTCCAAAAATAAATTGTCTACCAGCAGCTGGCCACTTGTACCATTCACCTTTAAAATAAATTGCTATAAATGCCATGAAAGGGTTTTTATGTGTTCCAAACCTGATTTATTACTGCACCACTCTGTGTGGATCTATGTCTTGGCCAAGCTTGGTGGTAGTTATTGGTGTGTCTGTGGAGGAAGGTCAAGAGCACACACTGTGCTCCCCTGGAAAGGGAGGCATTAACCTTCCTCAGGCTTCTTCCCTTCTCTTGGTAGGAGAAGCAGAGAAGGATGAGAAAGATGCTCTTCCCAGCCTGGACACGTTCCTGGCCAAGCACACGAGCGAGGACAACGCCTCCTTTGAGCAGATCATGGAGATGGCCAAGGAGAAGGAGAAGGTCAAGCACGCCTGGCTGTACAGCGCAGAGGAGGAGTACACCCGGGTAGGGATGGCTCTGCTCTGCCAGAGGGACTCAGCAGGGAAACCATTTCACTCTGCTTCTGCTAAGGCTCAGCTCCCTGGGGCCTGGGACTGCTCTGTGCTTCCTTGTGCACTCCTGTTTTTCTGTCACACAGAAGGAACAGTGCTGACTTAGTTGCTGAGGTTTTGTCTCTTCTGTAAGCAGCAACACCAGGGAGAGCAGCTGAGCACAGTTCCTGCTGTTTGTCCATCAGCCTCTCATTATTTGCAGATTGTCTGTCTTATTTCAGTTTTCAGTTTCTGTTATCAGTAATAACCCACTCTGCTGCTGAAGCACAGAGCTGCATGAGCATGGCTGGCTGTGCTGCCTTCCTCAGCCCCCTGCAGGGGAGCTCCAAGTGCTGCTCTGGGCCTGCCTTGTCAGTCTGAGCAGCTGGCACATTGATGATGTGGGATGCAGTGCCCTTTCATGAGGTTTGGCACTGACGTGGGTGTTTGCTGCTGTTTCTTGAGGCAGTGTTATTTTTGTTATCCCAGCTATCCCTCACAGTCTGTTACAAACCTTATGCAAAGTGTTCTAGGGCAGGTGGCTGAGCTTGTGACTGAGCTCTCCAAGTTGTGTTTGCCTGAATAAAAGATTGCAGGAGGCTGCTTCAGACTTTTTTTTTCTCACCTTTCAAAATTTTTTTCTATTGCCCTTTCAGCAACAGAATGAAAACCTGGCACTTCCTTCAGCTGAGCAGCAAGCTCTGGAGAATGTGAAAGCTGGGCTGGATACCTGGCAATACACAGCTCGAAACACCCTCATGTATTATCCCACAGGTGAGGCATTGGCTCCAGACAGTGCTTACAGCATTTCTGCATGTGACTGAGCAGCTGTTACAGGCAATGCTGTGCTTTTTCTTCTGTAAAGTTGTTTTTTCTTTTTTTCTTGGCCTCTGATTCTAAACTTTGATTATGTTCTATTTGCCATTGAGAAGCTCATCTGTATTATAGAAGTACTTGTTTTCAGCAGCCAAAGTTCTTTCCTGGTCTGTCTCCTTCATGAGCACTTGTTGTCATCTTCATTAATTGTTTGCTTCTGCTCAAAGAGTCCTCCTTGGACTTGTTAGTCTGTTTGTTGCTATAGAAAAATACATATTTTTGTAAATGTACTTTCTTTTTTTGGCTGTAAATGTACAGTTGATAATTTCTGTGAACCAGTGAAGTAAAGGGCTCTTTTTTAAAAGGCATTTTGCTTTTCTAGGTGTGCCTGATGAGAGTGAAGTTTTTAAGAAGCCCAGGGAAGTTGTGCATCGAAACACACGTTTTGTGAAGGACCCTTTTAGCCAAGCTGTGAGCAAATCACAGCTCCAACAAGCTGCAGCCCTCAATGCTCAGGTTGGATAATTTTACTTCTGATTCCAGTCTAGTTAGGCTTTGCTCTCTGGTGTGGTTCATCCCCCAGAATTGTGTGTGTGTGTGGATGCAGCTGACTCTCACCTTTCTCCACATGAACAACATTGTCTTTTTAATTTCAGTACAAACAGGGCAAAGTGGGACCTGATGGGAAAGAACTGATACCACAAGATTCTCCAAAAGTGAACGGGTATGGATTTGTGGCTACCCCCTCTCCTGCCCCAGGTAAGAGGGTTTTCTTATTTCTTCTGCTTTAACAGGAGTATTACTGCACTTTGATGCTCTGTTCAACACTAGAGTGTCATTACAGGGTTAGATGATGAATAAAATCTCGTGCTGTGTATGCCAGCTGCATACAGGGCTTAAATCCTAGTCCAATACACTGTAGGAGAAGTCACACTGCACCAAGAGGCTCTGAAGTTGCTGTGCCATTGCTCAACAATCATCTAGGTGTGGGGGGTACTTTCAGTTAGAACAAACTGATTATTTTTCTTCGAGTTGAAACGTGGTATCTGAATTTGTAGCTGTTCTGCACCAGCCATGCTGTTTCTCTGTGCTTTTTGTGGTTATGCCAACACTTGGACATTCTGGGGCTTTCCCTCTGGGAAACCTGCAGGTGGCGTTTGGGGCACCTCCTTCCTCCATCGTAAAATCCTTCTTCAAACCCTGGGCAGGGGAATTTTCCAGCCAGAGACTTAAATGGGCTCTGAGAATCTGTTCTACACCTGTTAGACAAAATGTAGTCACTGGTTGGTACAGGCTGCCCCTGAGATGATTGGAGGGAACATTTGGTTATTACATGTCCTTAAATCCTCTGCCTGTTTTCTTACTTTTAAAGAGTTTCCTGTGTCCAAGGAGTTTCCATACAGCAGCAGAGGGGAGGACTAGTACTGTAGATGGAAAAATGAAAGTGTCACTAATCAAAAGTTAGCAAATGGAAAAATGAAGGCATGGAATGGGTGGTGCTTGGTTGTTGTAACTGAGAGGGTGACACAGCTACAGGCAATCCCTTTAATGGGAACCACATGTTGTGGTGTGATTTCCTCTGCAGTGTAGGGGGCTCCTTTCTTGATGAATTTGCTGCATTTTCTAATTTGCTTTGCTTCTCTCTCTCTTTTTTTTTTTTTTTTTTTTTTTTTTTGTGAATGACTAGTGAAATGTCTTGCATAGGCATAACTTGTTGAATTTGTTTTTAGGTGTGAATGAGTCACCTTTTATGACATGGGGTGAAATTGAAAGCACCCCTTTACGTCTGGAAGGGTCAGAAAGGCCTTATGTGGACAGAACACCTGGCCCAGCTTTCAAGGTATTTCATGTCAGCATGACATTCTTTTCTGGGGGGAAGAACTAAGAAGGGAAAGGCAATGAGTAAGTAATAGATTAACATGGAGTGTGACACATCTCTGGGTGGTGTTCCCAGTCCTTGAAACTAATAATCTCGTTTGTGCTTGGAGGGTGGAGGTGAGCATGGATCCACGTGAAATCTTGTTGGTGGAGCTACCTGAGGTGGAACACACACTGCTGGCAGGAGAAGGAGATTCTGCATTTGGGGGTGGGCCCAGGCAGAGGAGCTTTCAGAGGAAGCTGAGGACATGTTCAATTTTTCTGATTTTAATGTGTGAATAGGTGGAAATTTAGCATTTCCCTCTGTCTTTATCTTCTGGCTGTTGCAGCCTGAGGCAGATGTATCAGTTGAGAGTAGAAAAGACACTCTGGCTTTGCTAATGGCACCTAACCCTGCATGCTACTTGTCTCCTGCTGGTGTCTTTGAGTGTGAGATGTCTGAGACTCTTAGTTTAAGAAGGGTGTAATTTGCTGTATGTGCCACTGTTTTGTCAGACTCCAAAGGCCTTGACTGGTTCTCCTGCTGTTTAACAATGTCTGTGTATGGCTGAGAGCTGGCTGGCTACAGGCCAGGCAAGACACAGGTGACATTGTTTGTGTAGAATAAACAGCAGGAGGAAATGCCAGAGGTAATGGCTGCTTCCTTGACTGGACTGGTTTTACAGTTTTTGTTACTTGCTAAGGCAGGTTGAAGGTCTCTGTGTCCTCTCTGGCTTTTATGCAGCAGCAAAGAGGTGTGGGCTGACCCCACTTCTCCCTGCTTTAGATCCCTGTGCATTGGAATCCAGCTTTGAAGGTGCTTTGACTCATTTTTTCTGCACTCTTTGAGTGAGCTGTGTGTGATGCATTTTTAGATCCTGGAGCCCGGACGCCGTGAGAGGTTGGGACTGAAGATGGCCAATGAAGTGGCAGCTAAAAACAGAGCAAAGAAGCAGGAGGCACTTCGAAAAGTGACAGAAAACCTGGCCAGGTGAGACTTCTGTTGGGACAGCAGAACTGGGGGTTGCTGTTATCTGATGAGATGTAAATCAGCACATGTAGAAAGGGAGGGATTATCGTAAGGAAGGATGGGAAGAGGTACATTTGGACTGAAAGTTTTTAGAAATTAAAAATTTAGAAACTAAAAAACTTAGTTTCTGAGGGAAAGTGGCTGGTGGCTGTCCCTGACACTCTTTGTCAGCATTACTGCTCTGCCCTGCAGCCACCCAGTGATGCCTCTGGATCAGTGCCTTTCCTCATTGCAAAGGGGAGACATGATAAGAGTTGCTTGGGGGGGGTCACAGGAAGGACAGAATGGGCTCAAAGGAAAAGTCAGGCAGTGCCACTCAGGTTTGGGAGGGATGTTTGAGGTTTTTCTGTCACTGTTTCTCTAGAGAGACAGGCTGCATTTACCTGCAGGCAGTGGCCCTGCTCTGTGGGGGAACTCATGTTGGGAGGCAATGTTGCTTTTCCTGATAAAGGCAGATTTTTTTACTATAAAATTTCTTAAAGCTGTTTATTCTGTTTCAGCCTTACTCCAAAAGGACTAAGCCCAGCAATGTCACCAGCTTTGCAAAGACTTGTGAACAGGACTGCAAGTAAATACACGGACAAAGCCCTGCGAGCCAGCTACACCCCCTCCCCAGCCCACACAGGAACTCCTGGGTACAAGACCCCAGCCAGTGGGCCTCAAACCCCCCAGAGCACCCCACAATCTAGGACAGTATCTCAGACACCAGTATCTCAGGATACCACATCCATCACGGACAATTTGCTGCAGCTTCCCAAGAGAAGAAAGGCATCTGATTTCTTCTGAACATTCCAGTCACCACCAAGGTGACAGTGATCTGGCTGTGCTCAGTGAACTGTGGACTGGATACTGGAAACTGGGAAAATGGACATCATTTCTTAAAGATATATTTCTAAGAGGGCTTGCATTTAAATTAATTTCTGTACAGCTATGTCTGTTTCTTAAGTGGGGTCAGCCTTTCTTAAAGGCTGAACTGGACTTGGCTCCAGCTTGTCAAACTTGAGTTTGCAGAAGAGGGGACACAACCATGTCTATACTGAGGCATGACACAGAATTTTAGAGAGATTCTCTTTAACTTTAAACTGATGCAGTTCACAAGTTTGACTAACTTGGTGATCTTGTTAAAACCAGCATTCCTTAAGAGGACCCCATTTCTCCTCCACTGCTTACACTTTGCAGAATGGGATTTGCCTTCCTGCTTTTGCTCAGACTTCTGCAGGTTTTGGGCTTGCCCTGTTCTGCAGCTGGCAGAGGGAAGGGATCAGATTTGTTTTGTAGCTGCTCTGTGTGTGACTCCAGAGAGTTGATGATCACAGTCAGGGGCCAGAGGCAGTCCTGTGTCACCCACCAGGATGGCAGTGCCATTCTGAAGGACAGAAGTGATACTTCTGATAGCCACACCAGAGCTTTTGTTTGGTGTTCTCCTCCCATTCTCTGGAACTTTTGGCTTTAGTTTTTATAATTGGCCAAAAAAAGGAAAAGCAATTTTAACCATCCGTAGGCTGCACTCAGTGCTGTGGTTGCTGCACATGAGCTGATGTTTGTGTGTGGATGAGCCCCAGGTGTGATCCAGCCTGGAGAAGCACTGGGCACCCTTTAGGAGGAAGCAGGTGTAGCCAGATGTTTTCATTTCTCGCTCCACACTTGTGAACAAGACGCTGTGTGTAACACTTGGCATTTGCTGTAGTCAGGTGATGTTTTCCTGAGGGAACATCCATGGAAAGTCTTACCCAGCAACTTGAGGAGTGTCTGCAGTGTTCTCTGAGGTCTGGGGCATTGGGTGCTGTGTTTGTCTTGGTGGAGAGCTTCCTTTTGTGTGGTTTCCTCTGCCTCTTCCAAAACTTGTGTCCCTGACTGTGAAAAACCCTTCTGAGAGACTCAGTTTTTATAGTGCACCTTGTAAAAATAAATGTATCAACATGGCATTGCTAGGACTCAAAAATTAGTAATTGTTACCTTTTTAGTCCAGAAATACTTGAAGGCTATGTTTTTTCTTTAAGCAAAAAAGTTATTTTCATTATGAATGAATGTAAAAGGAGTGTGTTTGCTAAAGTTTTCATGCTTTCAGAATTGTTCTTTAAGGACTGAACTGACTAAATATTAACCAAGTTCTTAGTTAATTTCAAATACTAATTATTTATTTCACAGTGAAATGCTTGTCTCCATGAGGCACCGGACCTCTCTGTTAGGTGCACAGGCAGGAGATCAGACCCTGCTCTGCAGTTTGGGTCACTGAGCAGACCTGGGATGTGGGATTCCACCCATTGGTGGGTGCAGAAGCTCCTCTGAGCATGGGATGCACAGAAAGGCTGAGCAGCATTCGAGGGACTGCAGATGGGACTCCTGACACGTGGATCAGGAGTGGGATGTGGCATCTCTGCCACAGCATTTCAAACTGGCTGTGCTCATACCAAGGAGCAGCTGGAATAATAGGGAAACAAGATATCTGAGCGTGGTTAGCTCCACATTGTGCAGTTCATGCTTAAAAGCAGATTGCATTAAATATTCTGTGGATGGTGTTGGTTTTGTGTTTGTCCTCAAGTGAATTAACCTAGACAGCCACACTAAAATCACAGTCTTGATTCTGCCACTGATGGGCCTTCACATGTTTGTTGGAAATTGAACTTATTTTCAGTTACATGCTGTAAAAGTGGTTCTGTTGAAAGGGCTGGAGTGCTCTTCAGATTGCCTGTTCCTGTAATGCCTGCTGTAACGTCTGTTTTCTGCTTCCTGCTGCAGTTCAGCCCCTGCTTGCTGTAATTAGCAAATCACTAAATTCTTCATTGCCGGATATTTGTGCTGCTGTAGCAGTGGCAGATCAAGTTCCTTACAGGGCCAAATCCGGTGTGAAAGAACCTCTTGGTTCTTGATGACTGGTCATTTCTTTTTCTCCCATTTTCAGCACATTATTTTTCTTTTGCTGTTGCAATATATCTGCATTTTCCTATGTGCAAGACCCAAGCACACTTGCTGCCTCAGCCATAAGAGCATGTGGAGCTCTCCTGATGCTGCAGAAGTAGCTGGCAGTGAGCAGTGGTGGCCCCAGGGTGGCCAGGCTGGCTGTGGTGAGTAACTGGATGCTTGGAAGTCGTGGTAGACCTATGTCCATGTGGTGTGAACACCATCACATCCAGGGGCTGCTGGGGCTTGCTGTGTGCAGCCTGGGCCTTGGCTCTTTGCCCCAGGCAGGAAAGACAATGGGAGACCACAGGAGATTGTTGTAAATCTAATCCCTGAGCCCCAAGCTGGTTCTCTGAGCCCTTCACTTCAGGGCCAGGAGCGTCTGAAGTGCGTAACCTGCTCTGCCCTGGTGCAGGGATTGCAGCTTCTCACCCTTCCAAAAGCAGGTTCCAGTAAGTGAACTGATTCTTTAGGTCAAAAGGGAAGCTGTGGTTGGAGATACTTTGTTGTTTTGGAGGATTGGGTTATTTCTCTGCAAAAATAAAGGAAATGGGTCTGCTCACTCAGGGGAGAGGGAAATGGAGCAATTCTCAGTTCCTCATACTTGCACGTGTTGCCTCAATCCCAGCTCATGGCTGCTGGATTACAGCAGCTGGTTGTGAGCTGCCCTGGCACAATCTGGGGCACTGGGCACCTCTCACCCTTCACTTTGGTGCTGCTGGGCCATTGGTCCATGGCCTGTTTGCTCAGGGGTGCTGAGGGCTGCTGGGCACAGGGGTGTGCTCTGGGCCCCCCCTCTTCAGAGCTGGAGTGCTGTGGGACATGACAAGGGGAAATGAAGCCTGCCTTGCCTTGGGACAGAAGCCAGGGATCAGCACCCTGCTCTCATGGTGGAGGCATCAAAGGATATTTATTTATGCATCACCCTGTGTGGTGTAATGCCCTGGCCCTGGGGTGGATAAGGATACCTTGATGAGGCCTGTGAGGCTGCACTGCACAAACCAGGCTCAGAACAGTCTGTGCCCACAAGGCCCAAGGGAGGGGCAAAGCTTGGGCACTTTGATGCTCACACTTTGTGCTGGAGGATGTTGTCATGCTTCAGGTCCCCACAGGCTCTTGGACCATGGCATATTTGGCAGCACATGAGAGCTGGGAAAGTGGGTTTTGGCCTGAATCTTCAGGCAGTGCCCTGCTGCTTGTGACCCTCTCCAGCGGGTCCCCAGGCACGTTCCTGGGCACTCAGTGCTCCTGAGCCCCAGGGCTCACTGCTCCAGGCTCCTGCTTGCTGCTCCCCAGCTCTGAGGAGCTCTTGACAGGCACAAATTTCCCCTCCCATGTTAAACTGCACATTTAGGTTTGAAGGAAGCACCTCCCTGGAGCTACTGACCTGAGCACAGCAACAGCTCCTGAGGTGAGAGAGGCAGGGAGTGCTCGAGAAATGCCACAGAAACCCCGTTCCCTCCCTGCAGGCTGGCAGCTGACCAATGGGGCAGTCAGTGACTGAGGGGGAGCAGGAGCCATGAAAGAAGTAGCTCTACATCCATCTGGAAAAACTTGAGAAAAGTTTGCTGCTGGATATAGTGAGTAATTGGTATTAACTGGGAAATGAGGAGTGGGTAAATTGGGTCAAAATGGACCTTACTGGAATTGCAATGTTTTATTTACGAACTATTAGTTCTAGGGTACTAGTGTTGCAAAAGAGTAGAAAACACCTCCTTGTAAATATTAAAAATACATAAACATTTCCAAGGCAGGATTTTCCTTCCCAGGTTTTGACTTTGACTAGGTTGTACTAAAAAGCTGGAATTCCCTGCAGAGGAAAGTGACAGCTCTCTGCTGACCGTGGGTCAGCCATTGTGTTTGGCCCCTGGCAGAGCCTATGTCCTGCTGCTGCCCTAGTCAGTGGAAATTCCAGATGAAAGTGGGTGTTATGCTAAAATTGCCTTTTGATCCCAAATGCCAGCTGGGCTGACCTCCATCCAGCGCCAGGAGAGTTGTGGCACCGGGCCACTGTCTGCAGCCAGGGACAGCCTCCACCCTGCCCGGCTGGCAACACCCAGGGTCAAATTCCTACAGGCACCTGTCACTTGCAGGGCCACCAGCAATGACCTGAGCACACAATTAGTTCTCTTTGTGCATTTCCTCTCTGTCTGGGCAGGGAACTGGGAAGGCAATGTTTCCAGGAGCTATGGAAACACCTGGCTGGCTGTGGGAATGTCCAGCCCCGGGTGCTGCTGTCCTTGTCACCCTGCAGACATGAGAACAGGGACTGTCTCGTCCACTGTGGGCAGGGGCGACCAGAGTAATGAAGAAGCAAAAGCTGATCAACCTGGGAGTGTGCTGGGGCTGGGAAAGGCCAGAGTTCTTTCTGTGCTTCTGCTGCGGGCAGGCAAGGCGGTGGCACTGGAAAGGCCATGGCAGCAGAGATGGAGGGGACCTGGAAAGGCTGTCCCGGGGTACAGAGGAACCTGGCTGGGGCTGCTCCAGCAGGAATGGGAAAGGCTGTGAGGGAGTGACGGATGGGAGCAGGCAAGGACAGGGAAATGCTGTTCTGCAGGGAAAAGGGGACTGATAAAGGCTGCCCTGGGGAGGTCGAGCCAAGTGAGCAAGACCATCCTGTGGGTAATGGGGTTTCCATTCTGGTGAGGACGGAGGGGCTACCAGAGGCGGTGCTGGGGGCATTGCGGTGCCATCAGCGCCATCCCGGGCACCGAGGGCTCGGGGCGCACTCCGGGGGCCGCCCCGCCACCGCCCCCTGCCGGCGGCCCCGCCCACCGCCGTAAATGGGCGGGGCGTGCGCTGATCCTCGCGCTAGGCCCCGCCCCCTGAGCGCAGATTGGGCGGGCGGCGCGCGGCGGGAGGGGGCGTGGCGGCGCGGGCACGGCGGCGGGGAGGCGCGGCCGCCATCTTGTGCGCCGGCGGAGCCCTGCGAGCCGCCCCAGCGCGGCCGCCCGACCCGCGCCGCTCCCGCCGCTCCCGCCGCAGCCTGGGCCGCCGGCTCCGCCCGGGGCGGCGGCGAACGGCGGAGGGAGGGCAGGGGAAAAGCTCCGTGCAAACCGGGGCCCCCCGCGGGCCCGGCGGCGGCCCCTCCTCCCGCCGCTCCGCGCGTCCCTCCCCGCGGGTTTGTGGCGCTGTGCCGGGGGAGGATGAACGGAGGATAAATGGTGCCCAAGGCGGACAGCGGCACCTTCCTCCTCCTCTTCCTCCTGGTGCTGAGCATCACCGAGCCGCTGCGGCCAGGTAGGGGCGGCGGCGGGGCCGGGGGTGCCGGGCCCGGGCACACGGCAGGGAGAGCCCCGGGGTCAGCCCGGACCGGGGGTCGGAGCGGCCAGAGCCGGGTCTGGGCTGTGCCGCTGTTTTGTGCCTTTGAACAGAGCCGGGACGCGGCCGAGCATCGGTGCCCTGTGCCGTCTGCCCGGCTCCGAGAGAGCCTGGATTTACCCTGGGAGTCGGGGTAAAACCTTGGTGTCAGAGTGAGAAAGCTTGGCTAGAAATCTGCAGAACCCTGCGGGTAATGAGCGCAGAAAATGTGGTGCCGAAGTTTTCAGGTGCTTGTTGCTTACCTATTCCTGTGTTGTGGGCCTTGGATGCCTACACCAGACCAAGTGCTTGCTTTCGAAGTGCCATTTAATCCTGCCAGGAAGAGAGAAAAAAAAACCTGCCGCACCTGGTCCGTCTGTCTGGTTCTGTTTGTGCTTCTTTTAGGGGAATAATTCAGCGATGGAGTTTGTGTGCTAGCTGCTAGGCATGGTGCTTAAAATCCTAAGGTGATTAACTTAGGAGAAATGGTTCGTGTTTGCGGGTAGAAAACTACAGTTTTTCTAGGTATATCACTCAGCTGGAGTTTGTTTTTGGGTGTTGAACTCTCTTGGAGCTTGGCAAAGCCCTCGGCTATCATGGGCAGCTCTTGCCAAAGAGCATCAGTAGCAAAAGCATGAGAGTGGCTTTGCAGGTTTGGGAATCGCCCTCCCATCGCACCAAGGGACTGTTCCTGGGTCATACATGCTCCTCGTAAATAGGAGACCAAGAACCATGGTGTTCTTTGAAACCCCCTTGTTCTTTCTCTTCAAAATAACTTTCATGACCCAGACTAATAAAAGGTAACAGTATTAATGAACTGCGTCTAAGCGAGTTCCCAGCAGAGCTGAAACACA